GCCACGCTTCGCGCACACCATGCTTGGGCTCATGTGATTCGTAGCTAGACCCAAGTATGAAACAAATACTACTAGCCCGTTCTGTGCTAAACCGATGGAGTTCAAGCAACCTAGGTTTTTTATACCAAATTTCAACCTTTACCAGTTGGTCTATCATATTTGGGCCACTAAATCAGGTGAAAATCACTGATCCCACAGAAGGATATTCTCATTTGACATTAATTTGTATTGTCAATCATAGAACACAGTGGTGGTGGCCCCCAAGCATACGCACGTTTTCCTTGGTTTGCGTTACTGCGTATCTTGCTGCGTTTATCTGAACCCATTGTTGACCAATTCCTGGTGAGATCGCTGACACCATGTTGTCCATGTTATCCAACTGTTTGAATGGACTGAGGTCCGCTCCGAAGTTAATCTCTGTCTAGCTGAGTCTGCGAGTTGCAATCCATTCATGCATGACATGCATCAAATCCAACAGAAATTAGTTCGCCAACCTTTGTGGTAAGCCTTAAGGTGCCATATTGGCAAAGATTCTGTCATCAGCTTCCACTCCTCGACTCCAGTTTCCAACTCGGCTTATCTCCGCCTAAAACCCCCAAATGGAGGAGAAATCAGTTCTGAGGTGTAGTGTTGGAGACCACTAGCACATAGATGTCTGATGATCATCTATTTTACGCCATCAGTCTGGTATGGTGCGGTGTGTAAGCACGGCGATATCCAAACCAAAATGTTCACATTCCCCGTAAGTACGTCAGCAAGATATTTAGTAGAGTATCATTTTACCGGGTGGAAATTTAAAATAAACAGGGTGGGGCGATGGACAGCATGTACCCTACCGCCTGTGAATCACGCTTTGCGCTAGTTGGCACGGCAGTTCGAAGTATCTGTGGAATTTTCCGATTAACTCAATAACGTTCGTGTTCAGCCAGAGGACTTGCTCCGGACCACGCCACCCAGTGTAGCAAGTAGTCGGTAGTATTATAACAGAGGTCAGCGTGGTTCCAACGGGCAAAGATGCCATTAACATAGACGTTACCTGACCTTTTTGCTGTCGGACCAATTATACGTATGAGTAATTGCTTTATTGTTGACAGCACGAGACGCGGTCCAATTATAGGACCAGTAACTACTAGTACGAGATGACGCGCTTACTCGAGCGCGAATATCAGAGGCTGAACGAAGTCGCAGACGACGGATTATATTCGAGCGGCTACAAGAAGTGGTGGACGCATGAAGCAAGACATGAGCAAAAGTTAACACAGCAACTTTCAGAGCAGAGGATTGTCAGAAAATATGGACGGCGGGGAGCAGTAAAACAAGAATGAATATTGTACAATCGATCGGTAATAAAATTGTACGTAAAAGCATGTGGTATCTTTTGGTGCGATACACAGTGAAACACATAAGCTCATTGTGTAGGGGTTACATTCGGAATTAGGAGTGCAAGTAGTTTGCTCATCCGAGATAGAGCTAGTTTACTTTGATTTGGTGCGATGTATCTTCCGGTCATTTCTCCCAAACGTTTCAGCCTACGTTGACGATCATCATTCCATAGAGCCATCGATACTAATCACAGAAGCCCGTTAAGAGTACGAAGTAGGGATTGCTTTTATTAAAGGAGTCGTAAGTAAATCAAAATATAACAATATGGTTTCGTTAACTTTTGGTATATATGACTAGATAAAGCTAGCCCGTCCTGAGAATGGGATTCTTGTATCATTGATTATCTCAGTCCCTAAAATTTTGTTATGCTTAAGTTTACTTTAAGGTACATCCTTTCTGATTATTTGATTCAACAAAAAGCCAACTTTACCGCTCCACTCTCATAATTCCTAAGGGGTTTTAATTAAAATGAAAGAAATAAAAGAGATGGATTCGTTAACTTTTGTTTATATGATTATCGTTCCTGTTCTGGAATGGATAATGCGACTAAAAGAATGATCTTAATGACGAAGAGTGCCGCTTCCAGGAAAAGTGGAAACTGGAGTATTTTCCCATGAACGACTGAAAAAGTGTGTGTGCTTGATTTGTTTGGAGTGTGTGGCTGCTTTCAGAAAATTCACTATCAAGAGGCATTACCAAATGGAGCATGTTAACTGACAAGTTGACTAAAGATGAACGAGTTGAGAAACTGAAGCAACTCGAAGCTGGAATAACCTCACTAAAAAGCTTGTTTGCAAGAATCGGTCACTTGAACGAAAATGCAACCAAGGCAAGTTATTAGATGGCAAAACTAATAGCGAAACACTGCAGACCAGTTACTAAGGGTGAATTTGTCAAATAATGTATGATGAAAATTGTGGAAATACCTATCCGCAGAAAATGCAAGAGTTTATCAATATTTGCCTGGCCCGCAACACTGTGGTTTGCAGAACTGAAGATATGTCCTCTGATACTAAGAGACAATTAGAAACAAATGGAACAAGAGTTGACTTTTCTCCTGGGCCTATGATGAAGTCACTGATGTATGTGACACTGCTCAGCTTTCCATTTGTTTGAAAGGTGTTAACGATGAGATGTGTGTGAGTGAGAACTTATTTGACAAGCAGGATCTTATGGACCAGCAAATAGGAACAGATTAATTCCCTTCTGTTTCTTCTGCAATCACTAACATTAAACTATAATGAAAAAGGCTCCAGAATTATTACTGACGGCGCCGCAGCCATAAGTGATGAGCGCAGTGAATTGGCAACCCTTGTCTGTACGAAATCAGCAAAGAGGAGGGGGGGGACAAAGCCATTGAACTCCACTGCATCATTCACCAACAAGTTATTTGTGCCAAAACTCTTGGGTGTGACCACGTTATGAAGCCAGATATTAGGAGAACAGCTATTAGACATTCATTTATTGTGACCGAGCTTGATAGCTATTCTTTACTCTTCCTATTTTCTATTTCGTGACTGTTGTTTAAACGCTTTACTGGGTTCGCCCGATTGGTACATCCGCGTCATTGTTAATGGACGCTCATCGTCATACCCTTCTCAGCAGCGCTGTTTGCAAGAACATATTCTATTGGTTTTTCTCATCACTGTTCTACTTGGTTATGTTAAAGAAATATTTAGTGTCCCACAATTATTGTACTAGTTTTCAACTTTTGGGTCTGCATTCCTTATTCGCGTTTGTTTCGTGACTTTTGTTTAAACGTTTCATTTCGTCATGCTGATTGGCCAGTGCCCGTCACTGTAAATGGTCGTTCGCTTTACGCTTGGAGTCCAATGATGCTATTTTTAAGGACAAACGCGATTCGCTCTTACGTACACGGTTGCTTATTCGCCGTTGCATTTTACGTTTTCCCTGCAGTTGGTTGGCTCAAGTGTACTTTTGTAGCTTCCCTTCATTCTACATTCAAACTATATAAGCAACTGTGGTTTCATGTATACAAGTTTCCTTCTGGCTCGTCTGGGACTTCTTCTTGCGGTCGTGGGGTGAAGGCGTCAGTGGCGACACAACACCAGTGAGAAAACCTATCAACTATCTCCGCTCTAAATACCTGTTTCATCATCAGTCGAGGGACTGCATTGCATCGCTTCTACTCTCTTAGAAAAGAAATTGGACAATTCATGGAAAGCAAGGGAAAATAGATGCCAGAACTAGCTGATCCTGATTGCCTGGCTGATTTTGGATTTGTGGTACATATTATAGGGCACTGGAACATAGTGAACAGGAGCCATCAGGTTCAAAATGCAGTGGTATACCAACTGTCTCCACATATGAAAGCTTTTAGGAATAAGCTGCAACTTTTCCAAAGGCAACTGTCTCAAACGCAACCTCATTTTCCATCACTACAAGAGATCCTGACAAGTCTTCCTGAAAAAAACATCAAAGCACAAATGCAGCAAGTATGTCGCAGATATTGTATCCCTTGCTGATGAGTTTCAAAGGCGCTTTTAGTACTTTGTAACCGTTGAAAAGGAGATAGAACTATTTTCTTCACATTTCTCTGTGGACCCTGACAATGCTCTAGACCACCTGGAACTGGGGCTTATTGAGTTGCAAAGTAAGGTTGAATGTCGCAGTCCGCACCAACAGCTTTATCTCATCAAATTTACCACCAACTGAATAAAGACAGATTCCAAGAAATTCGAACATTTGTTAAGAAAATGCCCAACTTGCCTGGCACAACATATTTGTGTGAGCAGACATTCACAGTTTTGCATTCTACCAAGTACCGCGTGAGAATGCGACTGGGTGATCCTCACCTACGTGATTTCTTGCATATCAAAACCAGTCATTTAACCTGACCTGACCGGTTTACTGCAGTCCAGATCTCGGTTTCACCATTCACACTAAAACTTGCAATCAAAAATTTATAATAAGTCATTTTATGTTATTATCTAAATGTCAGGCTGAATATAGCCCGACACGTTTTCACCTCGCAAAACTTTGGACACCCCTAGGGTAAAAGATAGGATGCTTGCAATCAAGCACAGTATATTACATTCTATATTAACGAATGGTTGCAAATGCAGTATAAGGAGTTGTATCCCGTTCGTTTCCTCTGGTTTGTTGGTTGCCGCCGCTTGAAGCCGCATCCGTTGCCGCGTGACGCAACCTTCGATATGAGCGGCCTTGTCTCACGTGCTGTCCACACTTTGCATGCTGAGACTCGCCTTTGCCCACGTACACCGATGATTGGTTCTTGTGGTCAAGCTTCGGACAGTAGAGCGGAGCATAGTCGTCCAATCAAAAGCCAAACAAATCATGCAGATGACGCTGCAACCGAAGTGTCCACTGGATCAATGGAATATGCTACGCTGTCAACCCGCTGGATTTTTGATAGCTATGCCGGAAGGAACACGGAAGAATCGCGCTTTATCCAAACTCCTGGACTAATATTCTTTCGGATTTACGGTAGATGGATCTATCTGAGGGTGAGCGGAATAGCATTGTCGTGGTGGAAATTGACTTAATGATTACGTCTTTTGTGCGGCCTTCGTGTATGTAACGCAGGTAAATCAGGCGTTACAATTAGCCGTGCGCACTCCCACCAAAATGGTGATATGCATACTAGGTAGGTCAACAAACAGCCTAGACCTTCATGCATAAGCGACCACATTTCATGTTCATCTTTGCATTAGTATAAAACTCTGCTTACACATAATCATAATTCACCATCAGGCTACTATGCTGTCTTTTGTGCTAACTGGACGCGTCGTAGTGTACATACAAACTACAATGAGCTGCTTGCGTGTACATTACTTATACACAAGCATCTAGATGCCCTGTCGTCTCTCTGCTGTAATTCGTGTGGTTACGCTGAATCCACTTTCACTTGGGTCCATACTCCACACGTAGAAAGGCAATCAAAGCTATACAACGATAGCGGTCACATCATCATCAAGACCATTTGATAATTGACTGGCTCGTGCAAAGTTTACCACTGTGCTCAAACAAAATTAAGTGCACGGCAAACCGCACTTGACAGCGATTTGATTAAATCGATTATCGCTGCGAACTCGAGCTTCAAGTACTGCTAGAGATGACGTGTTAAAAACCCCTCTCACATTCAGTCAAGTTATAAATCACTTATTCTCATAGCTTATCCATCTAGTAGTTAGCCAATTTTGTGTGCTTAAATAGAACTTTATTATAGCCAGCGCACTATCCGTTCAAATTCCTCAACGTGCCTTGACAGTTCATACAGATTTTATAATTGGAAGTTTTATAAATTCGTCAGTTAGTAGGATGTTATGAAATCCTCAGCAATTTGAGACGAGTGACGTGCTGTACCCGACATTTGACAGCGAAACCCGGGAGTTCTATACAGCAATATTCAGCCTTCAAGATCTATCACGGAGGTTTAATTCCTTGTGGCTGCACGTAGCGGCTTAGTTCTAAGGTCACAAGCCACTACGTGGTTAATTAATTGGTTCACATATGTTACGAAAGCTGAGCAGCTTTGTATGTATGTGAAAATTATTCGTCCTTCAGTCGACTCAATTCCTGCAGTCTGCCAATAATATTAGCATTTTTTCAACTTACCAGTAGGCACTCCGCTTAGCTGATGAATGACCCGATTAAGCTGCGAATGATATAACACATCCAAGTGACATGGCTTAAGGACCAGGAAAATGAAGAGAAGCATTAATCTCAGCCTAGAGTGCGCTTTCAAGGTTGCCATGACGCCACAAATATATATATATATATATATATATATATATATATATATATATATATATATGACACCAGTGTGTTTTCAACCGGATTTTTCACTGCCTGTTGAGCTCATGATGTGACGGCAAGAGCGCCAATGAATCTTTATACCTTAGAATCCTCTCTGTGTGGTTTCATTCTCATCTGCTGAGTGCCAGGCAAGCTGAGGCATTTTGGTACTTTGATGAGAGCTAACTTCAAATATCTAGATGAAGTTGGTTCTAGTGAGTTAAGTCAAATAAATGGGGTTTAGACATACCCAAATTCTGGTGAAATTCCACTAGTTTGGTGAGGGTAAAAGGCGGAATACAGCCTACTGTGGCCTGAATGTTTGTGAAGAAGGTGCCAGTCTCGTTTGGGGGCTTTGATGTGTCGTTTAGTTTTGATTCTGCCCAGTGGCCGACTTTCTGAGGTTGGCAGGTTTAACTGAAAGCATCACTACTACCTGTACCGAATTCTAACTATCCACTTTTCATACCTTATTGCCACTGTAGTCAAGATGGACCAGGAAAAGCCCCGTTTGTGTTTCTGACGTTAGCGAAGCGCGCTTCTTGTACTAAATGCGATTTCTACTTCCTACTCTCCGTGACGCGGCACATACTTTCAATACGAATGAAAGCAAACAGTTCAACGGCGTTCCACTGCATTGCTAACAAGGATTTCGGTCAAATCACACCGGCACACGTCATGATACCTCCGTTCAGTATGAAGTGTTAGTTTTGAGGGTAAACCAGTTTGACATCACTTTGGTCTGCGCTACATGTTTACGAAACGCTTACTGCAGTCGCAGTTAGTCAGACAGGTCGTGGTTTACATGTTCTTGGCATGCGTAGCATCTGCTCTAAAGTCACCTGACAGTAGTGATGTGCGAAGCTTAGGAAATCATTTAATGACTGCACTCTTGATATTGTAAGAATTCGAGGTGCAAGCGGAACTGCTTATTGTTCCAAACATGGCTTATACTAGGTGCATCAGTTCTGACCAACGAAACATCCACTCATTTTCGTAATCCATGTTGAAGGTTGCATGGCGCGGGTTCCTTTCTGTGTCCAGGGGTTGTGTGGTGCGCATTGCTTATGCATCCATTCCTCGCTCGCATACAACTGCGTTTCCAAAGTGCTCGTTTCCTTTGGTGGAGTCATTACAGTCTGCTGTTGGTTGGTTCCCTCGTCCGCATCCTGGCACTTCCATACTACTGATTACTGGCGCCTTAGTGTCTGCCTTTAGTCCACCACAATATGCTTATGGGTAGCAGCTTGATCTGCAGCCATCACACATTTTAACCAAAACAATTTAGCGGTACAACACATAGAGAGCACGATGAATAATCTGACTACAGTGCAAAAGCATTGTTGCAGATCCCTTTAAATTGGTCGTGAGTTACAGACTTACACTCAAGGGTATACTAAGACCCGCTGGGTTTTAATCATGCAAGACAGATAGCAAAACATCCCAACTCTGTACAGTTGTCTCGAAGTACTAACAAACACTATAAATGGGGCAGGAATAATATTTCAATAGTTCAATAGTGTATGGTGACATAAAAAGAATAACATTATAAGACCCACAGGGTGGATGTGTAAAAACAAGTTAAAACCAATATGTTCCAAGTTGACACGTGAAGTAGCAGTGGTTAAACCATTGCACTTTATCAAACTGTTATGTGGCGTTTATCACTGAGATGAAAGTCAATCTTTCGAATCTCGTCATGTCTGGTGCGTTCACCACATATCATGGTAATGCATTCCAGTGGGCACAGGTTCTAAGTGAATAAAATTACTTTCTACAATTCAAACGGGAGTGTTGCGTCATTATTTCCAGGCGGTTGCCTCGGCTTTGTTTGTAAGGGGCTAGAGTCAACAGTGATGTACATGGATGCTCGCTTTCAGTTACTATCCAGAATGTGAAATATCTTCGAGAAGCCGTCGGTATTCCGAGGAGAACACACCGAGTACACGAAGACGCAGCTCGTAACTTAGACCGGATAGTCCACGCGTTGCCTCTGGCTATTCTTTGGGGTTGTTCCAATAGGCGAATGTCACCTTTTAACTATGGACTCCATGCCTGAATTGCTTATTTAACCTGAGGACGAATATAGGAGTTAATCAGCATTGCTACTAGCCGTCGCCCAAAGGTGTCGAGAGCCTCAAGTTCAAGTTCACCTCACTTGCTGCTTTCGAACATTGGAGCGAATTGCTAAAACTCTTGCACGATTATACCTAAGGCGCGTTCACTAGTCACGTGTTGCAGGACACGTTGCCCCAAAAGATATGTGTTGAAGAAGCGCAGCGTCAGTAGTTGACACTTTGCAGGGTTCAGTGAGAGCTGGTTCGCTTCTGCCCATTCATTAACCAAGACCATATTATGCTGAAGATAGACACGATCAGATGCTAAGCGGAATGCTCTCCACATCTGAGCATCGTCTGCAAATATTTGCATCAAGGATAGTATGTCTGCAAGAAGATCATTAATGTGGACTAAAGCCAGTAACGGGCCGAGGACGGATCCTCGCGGTACACCACTGGAGACACACAGGCTTTCAGAGTGAGTGTCGGCTACTCTTACCTTTATTGCTCTGTCGTGCAAGTAGTCTTCCAACCAGGTGAACGGGGAACCGTTGATACCATATGCAGCAAGGTTTTGGCGGAGAAATAGTGATTAACCCTGTCGAATGCTTCAGAAAAATCGAAGTAAATCACATCTATCGAGACTCTCCATCAGTCGCGCTGGTCCATGAGTACCGAGTAAGCAGCAAATTGGTGAGACAGGATCGTCTGTGTTTGACACCATGTTGAGCATAAGAAATTATTTGTAAACTTTTAAAGTATCGCGTCAGTTCATTTGCAATTGCCGATTCTATCGCTTTTGATAAAACAGGAAGGAGAGTAATAGGTCGGTACTTGGTAGGCTTACCCCCTTTGTATATTGGAGTGATAACTCCATTTTTCCACTCAGATGGGAGTGTATGGGAGTTAAGCAGACCCTGAAAAAAGGCTGCAAGTGGTGCTGCTATGGTGGGAGCAAGGGTTTCCACTGCTTTTGGGCAGGGCACTGCAATCCTGGGGTGACTGTACTTTGTTTGTAACAGCTGCTGGGATAAAGGTGGCGCTGGATAAGCCAACGACATTGGTTGGGAGTTGATAGGGCGAAGATTCCATGGTATTTGTAGCTACCGAGCCAAACTGCAGGAGTAGAGCGTTCGCGGCATCGATAGCAGTAGTTGTTAAGCCACTGGCCATCTTGAGTGATGGTATTTCGGGCTTAACCGTTCTTTTGCCATTCACATAGCTGCATAATAGTTTGGTGTTCCTCGTGAATTTCAGCGCCATAGTCTCCTGCCATTTGTACTTATCGACTCTAATGAGTGACGTGCAGTAGTTTCTGATTGCTTTGTGATGTTGTCATGTAGTATCACATGAGTTTAGCGAATGTTGACTCCAGATCTCGTCTCTTCTGCTGATCCATTTACGTGTTCTGTTTCGGATCATATATTGTTCCGGCGCGGTGCTCGTAATGGAACGACCTTCGATGCTGATTGTATGATCCAGTTAATTTTATCTTTCAGTTTATTCCACGCGTCATTCTCTGAACTGTGCGTCTTTAGTTCCCAGTCAACGGTTGCTGCCAAGTTGTGAGGCTTAAAATAGTCCGTAATAGTTCGTTGAGTCCCTCTTCCTTTATCAACAATACTGGCATAACATACATAACCAAATGTTAGGACTGAATGGTGACTACGGCCTAGTGGAGGATCCTACGCTACTGACTCAACCATCAACTGTTCATTAGTCAGGATTAAGTCCAGAAGTTATGGCTTGTTTGAACCGTGATGTCTGGTTGGTCTATGTACATGGTTATACA